GATATGCACGGTTCCCCCCCCCAATAGCTAGCAATCCAAAACAGTCCAGTGGAGCCTGAGCGGTGGGTGTTGCCTTCTGACACACCTCCGGTGATGTCAGGGGTGTGTGGCATATGCAAATAAGTTATGCTAATGAGTTATGCTAATGAGCTCATGCACCTCTTTGTCTACGAAAGGACCCCTGGGAATAGGCCTCCTTAGGGTTAAAAGTAGAAATGTGGGGGAGAAGGGGTCCTTCTCATGCTTTGCTGCTTTTCCGCTTCTCCTCCCTACCCTGCTCTCCCCTTCAGCCCTGTGAAGTTCCAAAAGCGTTTTAAGGTGTAGCATTTGCCTCTTGAGTCATCAGGCAATGGTGTCTGCAGCACAAACAAAAACAAAATAGATGTTGTCACATGTCAGCTGAAGCCTGTCTCCCTTTACGTTCCAAGAATAAAGAACTTGACAGCGTGTTTAGCTGAATTTCCAGGCTGCAGAGGACAGAAAGTATTTAACAGCATCCCAGGAAGAAGAAGAAGATGAAGATGAAGAGGAAGAAGAAGAAGAAGCACAAAATGAAATTGCTGAGAAGTCGTGTTAGAACAGATAAAAGGAAGTCCTTCTTCACTCAAAGAGTGATTACCACATGGAATTCACTGCCACAGGAGGTGGTGGCAGCTACAAGCATGGGCGTCTTCAAGAGGGAATTGGATAAACATATGGAGCAGAGGTCCATCAGTGGCTATTAACCACAAGGTATAGATAGAAACTCTCAATCTGGGGCAGGTGATGCTCTGTCTTCTTGGTGCTTGGGGGGGGGGCAACAGTGGGAGGGCTTCTAGTTTCCTGGCCCCACTGCTGGACCTCCTGATGGCACCTGGTGTTTTTGGCCACTGTGTGACAGAGTGTTGGACTGGATGGGCCATTGGCCTGATCCAACACTGACTTCTATTATGTTCTTAACAGCTCTGAAAGAACTTATGACTGACCCAAGGTCACACCAGCATCTGCATGTGGAGAAGGGGGGAATCAAACCCATTTCTCCCAGATTAGAGTCAGCGCACTTAAGCACTACACCAAACTGGCTCTTAACAAAGACTCTCTCACCTTATGATCTAGCCTGTCTGGTAACTTCCTTCCTCCTTCCCTCCCTCCCATTGTTAATGCTGTCAATTCTGATGGCTTCCTTGTTTAATTAAAAGGTGACCATCTTGAAAACACTGACGAAAGAGAAGTACACCTTTAAGTGCAATCGCTGGCTGGACGTCAACGAAGACGACAGGGAGATTGTGAGGGAACTCCCAGCCGAGGGCTCGCTCGTGACTGAGGTCATGCCAGGTGAGAAGAGATAGGTCCCTCTTGGGACTTCAGTAGCTGGGACGAGTCCATGTTGGTTGAGCACTCCCAAGAGAGACTGAGGCCCTTGGTTGTGGGTTGTTTCCCCTCCGGGGCCCAGTCTCTGCTGCTTTAGCAGGATGAATTCTGCAAATATTCTTTTTTTTGGTAATGGTTTATTTATAATTTTATAGTTACATAAAAATAATCAAATAATTAAATATACATTTTCGAGTCTAGATCCACAGTGTTGTTTAAGCCATCTCTTTTTGTATATATTATCATCTTTCATCTTGAAAACACTGACGAAAGAGAAGTACACCTTTAAGTGCAATCGCTGGCTGGACGTCAACGAAGACGACAGGGAGATTGTGAGGGAACTCCCAGCCGAGGGCTCGCTCGTGACTGAGGTCATGCCAGGTGAGAAGAGATAGGTCCCTCTTGGGACTTCAGTAGCTGGAATGAGTCCATGTTGGTTGAGCACTCCCTAGAGAGACTGAGGCCCTTGGTTGTGGGTTGTTTCCCCTCCGTGGCCCAGTCTCTGCTGCTTTAGCAGGATGAATTCTGCAAATATTCTTCTTTTTTGTAATGGTTTGTTTATAATTTTATAGTTACATAAAAAGAATCAAATAATTAAATATACATTTTCGAGTCTAGACCCACAGTGTTGTTTAAGCCATCTCTTTTTGTATATATTATCATTTTACCTTGCAGTACAAGATTTAGCCTATCAAGTTCTGCTACTTCTAGCAATCTATGTACCAACTCTACCATAGTGGGGGTTCTTTCAGTTTTCTAACTTTTGGCTAAAAGGATTCTAGTTGATGTTATGATATAAGTTATAAGATAACAATCACTTTGAGTACAACAATCACTTTTAGTACAACTGTCTGGGAGGATATTCAACAAATAAATTTCAGGCTTTAGTGGCAAGTCTATGTCCATAATTTCTTGTATTATTTTACGAACCTTGCCCCAAAATTTATATATCTTTCTACATTTCCACCAAGTACGATAAGTACCCACATTATTCTTACATTTCCAACAATTATTAGTTGTTGTTGGGAACCATTTTGCAATTTTATCTGGAGACCAATGCCATCTATGGAAGACTTTATATATATTTTCTTTATATGAGGTAGATCTCATATAAATATTCTGCAGATATTCTGAAAACCACACATTACTGGTTCTGGGTCATCGAAGATGTCCAAAGGATTAGAACCACAACTGATATTTTGGCTATGCCTTCACGCCACACGGAGCTCCCTCTGAGAAAGATGGGTACGCATTTGATCTAAATTAAGCACGTTCTTTAAAGAATTAGAAGCACAACTGGTATTTTGGCTATGCCTTCATGCCACACAGCGCTCCTTCCAAGAAAGATGCATACACATTTTTTCTAAATTAAGCACATTCTTTAAAGAGTGGGAGGGATGGGGAAGGAAGAGAAGAAGAGAAGATATTGGATTTATACCTCACCCTTCACTACCCAAAGGAGTCTCAGAGCAGCTTACAAACTCCTTCCCATTCCCCTCCCCACAACAGACACCCTGTGAGGTAGGTGGGGCTGAGAGAGCTCTGACAGAAACTGCTCTTTTCAAGAACAGTTGTGCTAGAACTATGGCTTGCCCAAGGTCATCCAGCAGGTGAAAGTGGAGGAGTGGGGAATCAAACCCGGTTCTCCCAGATTAGAGTCCGTGCACTTAACCACTACACCAAACTGGTGTATGAAGCAGTTTTTCCATCCTACTAGTAAAGTTGCCAACATCTCAAGTTCTTGGAGTGGTGGATTTTTCAGCAGGTCAGGAATTTCTATGCAAGCGAGTGTCTTCCTTCCCCACCCAGTCCATCTTGCCCACCTCTCTCATGGTCCATCCTAGACCTAAAAAGTTCTACCCAAGTCTTCGTAGTATCCAGCCAAAAGCAGACCCTTCCCATCTTTCTCCAACTGGTCCATCCAAAAACCCATTCACAGCTCCCCCGATTCACGTTTGCATGTAGACCAATCTTGCAAAATACATCAGATAACAAATGGGCCATCGTCTTTGCCAAGCGCAGCGCACATTCCAGATCTGGCGCCACTCGCCATCAGCTCAGAGGCGCTGCGGACCAGGCCCTGCAGCCGAAAGCAGAGTTCTGAGCTGCATGGATCCGACCCCTGTTTGGTAGTTCCATCACGCTCATTGATCAATATGCAGAGATCTGTTCCCGAGATGTTGCGAGGATGATTATAATTGCAAATGCTGTGATTAAAATGTCAACAAACCTTTGATGAAGTTTATTTTTAATCCACTATGAAGCCGTTGATGGAGAGGAACCGCAGACGCTCCCCGGTTGGATGCTATTTGCCAGCTGCATGGGGCAGATTGAGGCAGCCTGGTGGAAGCCCTTGTTTGTGTAACGGAGGAATATTCGAAGCTGCTCAGAACCAGGGCGGATGTCTTGCTGGCTTCCTGGAAACTATGGTTTGAAACCAGGAGCCAGACCTGAGGAGATATGTCCCTTCCTCCATGGCCATTCACAGTGTTCCCTTCCCTAGTTATAATCTTGGGCTTAGCAGTGCACTAGAAGAAGAAGAGATTGGATTTATACCCCGCCCTCACTACCCAAAGGAGCCTCGGAGCGGCTTACAAACTCCTTTCCCTTCCCCTCCCCACCACAGACACCCTGTGAGGTAGAAGAAGAAGAAGAGATTGGATTTATACCCCACCCTTCACTACCCAAAGGAGTCTCAGAGCGGCTTACAAACTCCTTTCCCTTCCACTCTCCACCACAGACACCCTGTGAGGTAAAAGAAGAAGAAGAGATTGGATTTATACCCCGCCCTTCACTACCCAAAGGAGCCTCAGAGCGTCTTACAAAGTCCTTTCCCTTCCCCTCCCCACCACAGACTGTTAGATCGCGCTAACAAAGGACTCATAGAGTGATTCAGCAAGTGATTCAGCTTTAATCAGAAGTAACGAACAAGCACTCAAACGCATTAGAACCAGAACAACATAACATTGGAGCTGGGCTCCTTTTAAACATACCGGGCTAATATAGCCACTCCCACTATGTACAATAACAACCAATCAGATTGCAGGGATAAGGGCAAATCAGAGTTCTTCCCGCTCAGGGAACAGTCCCTTCGTGATTGGTCGCTGTTTCAAAGCGACCAATAGCTTTATGGCTGGATGGAGCCTTGGCTGGCTCGAAGCTTAACATGGGAAGTGGATTAGGTGATTCAAGTTATACAGTCAGTACATAACAATTCCTCCCCCCTAAGTTAAGACAACCATATCGTTCCATTTACAGACATAGTTAACATGTCGTTCCATAAATCATCACAATAAACCTTACTACAATCGTAGTTGTTAAGATATGCGGGTGCTTTGTGTGTACGCTCAGATCTACGCAAGGGAACAGGGCCTGGCAGCCCGCTTTGCGGGGAATCTGACGGCGGTTTGGCAAACCCTAATTCCGGCGCTTTTACGGCCAAGGTTGCTGTGTCCCCGTCAGGGGCATATTCTGCTGTTGGAACAGCTATCGGTAACCCTGTAACGTTCTCCGAATCAGGAGGTTGGGAAACTATTGCATCATGCCCAGCCGGCGAGTCAGCGCTGTCTTTAAACCAACGTTTTTTTAACTGGTCCACATGGCGCTGCCACCTCCTGCCATCGGTCAATTGGACCAAGTACATCCGAGTACCTATACACTCACAGACCACTCCGGGAACCCATGAATGCCCCGCGGTATAGTTTCGGGCAAACACCGGATCGCCCGCCTGAAATATGCGCATAGTCGTACGTGGGTCTGTACGCTCCTCCTGTTGCTCAGTGAGGTCGGGGTGCAATCTATTAAGTTTGGTAGCTAGCCTCCGGCCCATAAGTACCTCGGCCGGGCTACGGCCTGTTGTACTACAGGGGGTGGTGTGTTGGCGCAGGAGGAATGACCCCAGCCGAACGCTCCAATCCCCCTCTGTTAGTTTTCCCAATGCCTCTTTTGCCGTTCGTACCATCCGCTCCGCCTGGCCATTTGAAGCAGGGTGAAAAGGGGCGGCGGTGATCTGGCGGATACCATTGTCCAGGAGGAATTTCTTAAATTCGTCCGACACAAATTGTGGCCCATTATCGCTGACCAGCGTGTCCGGCAACCCATGGGTTGCGAATAGCCCGCGTAGTGCCCTTATGACAGCGGTGGACGTGATTGT